GCATACAGTGCAGCTACTTGTTAGTGAGTTAGTGAGTTTTTCACAGATTGTGACCCCCCCTCCGCTAGCTCTGTAATTCTTTTTCTTTAATTTTTTTTTTTATCAACAATGGTTCTACTATGTCATCATAAAGTTTTGAGAAATCACAATTAGATGTAAACAAGGTAGTTTGAGGGAAAGTTGGAATAACAGCAAGGCAAATGAAGACAAAATAAATGACAATGATGTACAAAAGTAAGCCAGTCTCCCAAAAACATATATATATACATATACAGTACATATGTCAAGAGTTGACATCATCAACAACATCAAATTTCACATTTCAGCACATTTGAGAAATTCATCATTGAGACACAATAGATTAAAAAGTAACACAAGATGAATGAAAACATACAGTAGAGTGCTAGAACATCTGTTTCACCTTTTCACTTCACACTCTCTTTGATTCACCCTCTGCTCTGCTAGCAGCTCCGATGTCTAGTTGGATTCTCTCTGGCTTTCATACCACAGTGTGGGTTTTTGCTACTGTGTATACTTCACAGCTGACTAATCACACCGCTTATTTTCACTCATTCTTGTGGTTTGTTTTTGCACCACATAGGGTACTTACATTTTTGAGGATGTGCATAGAGAGTCTCTGCAGCCAGACAGATTCCATTCAAGTGTAAATTGAATTTTAGCCTTGACCATCTCATTATTTCTTTCTTTCTTTTACCTCTGTAGTGTTATTAACACCATGCTAAGTTTGGGTCAAAGGAAGTTTTGAAATAGCTGGATGTAGTTTGTTATTGCTTCCGGTGATTCGTGCAGCTTCCAGGACCTAGCATCTCTGATATTTCACTACCAAGGGTGGTCCTTGTCTCTGGGGTGGCTGCGGCCATGCTGGTCCTGACAGAGATGGATGGAGGGTATTTGTTGCTGAGGGCACTCAGTGATGCAGCACCAATAAGAGGGACACTGGTGGAAAAATCCTTAAACTAGCGGGTGAAGGATAATACCCTTGAAGCCAAACTGTTGGCATTTTCAAAACACACAACTTGTTATGCCAGATGCCAAGATTTCCCATGAGCATTTGTCTGTTCCTTGCCCTTATCATGCTACACTTAGCTCCTTTAGCTATAGTGAAATGCAAGAGCTCAGCTCAAATGTCACTGACTCCAGTAACGTACCAGAGCACACAGGTATCCTGAAGTTTAGACTATATTTTGCAGCAGGGATCCAGTTCAAGACAAAGAATATCGCCCCATTTCACCCCCAACAGTTCTTACCATCATACCATGTATACTTACAATCTTTACAAGTCGTGGTGAAATTGAGCTTCCGCTTTTACAGAAGACTGCATTTGTTGAATCTTGTATCTGCATCTTGTTGATCTCTGTAGTTCCCAGATTGTGGTTACTGTAAGAAAATGAATGCTCCTTTTGAAGTTTCTTTACAGCACCAAACTGCCATAGTCGTATTCACACAGTCAGTTTTACATGAGTGTTGTGCAGCTTACAAAACCAACCTCTTTGAATCACTTCTGTCTTATCTTAACCAAATCCATCCAGTTAAGTGTGTATTTTCATACGTCGGCCTACTGAGTGCATAGAAAAGCTTCTTTCAGCTTACGTTCGTTGTAATCCTGTTTAGCGTTGGTTTCATATATTTCAAACAGAATAGAAATATGTTCAAACAAGTTGCTTGGCTGCTCTGTTTCCACTGTAAATTTAAGGTGAAAACTACAGACTTAGAGCAAGCACTTCAAAAGGTAAAGACAGATTAGGCAGAAGGGATTTACGGTAAATTTTAGAGTTGGACATTGCATCTAATCCATGTCATTTCACCGTCACTATGTTTAAGGAAAGCTTGTGGCCATGGTTAGAAACTAAACATGGTTAGAAAAGGAAAATATATAGGACTCTCAAGTCATAAATTTTTTTTACCCATCCATCTGCCCAACACTACTTTTGCCTGTGTTCCTAACAGACAACTGTCATAACGTTGGCATTTGAACAAACAACAAATGCTGAATTGTGATTATGCACCAAGCATAATCACAGTTTAGAACTGGTAGGCCATAGGCCACAGTCTGTAATATCCCGGTCCAGACCTATATTTTAGACTCATTGGTCTGCTGGACAACTGACAACAAACCATAATCCTACTTCAAAGAATCTTGGTGTTTTCTCAAAATGTTATATTAACATTTTTCTTGTTCTCTTGAGATTTATCAAAATCTTTTTGCCTCTTCATGCAAAGAGGAATGGTATACTGCTGTTTGGCTAATCAAGAACTGATTGATCTTGACTCATGTAAAAAGGTGATCAAATCCTTTTCAGTAAATACAGTAAATATGCAGAAAATTATGCATGTATAAGCATACATATTTATAAAATTGTGCTGTGTTTACACATGTTCAGTCAGTGTTGTCTGCGTATATTTATGTCCTACCTCGACACATCTTCTGTAGCGTAGGATTACTCTGGCGGGTGGAGGACTGACTCTGAATGTTAAAAGGCAGCAGGAGTTGAAGTTTGCACACTTCCTAGTGCCAACTCCCCCTCAAGATCCAAACTGCTGCCTGAGCTGAGCTGTCAGCCGCATACTCAGGCTCCAGCACGGTGCTTTACAGGAGGAGAGGGATAGAAGAAAGGAGAAAGGAAAGGTAGATGGAGGGGGAGGTGGAAGGAAAAGTAAATGAGGTAGAATTTTTGTGTTTCAACTCAAACAAGATGCTGTCATTGTGTTATACTGTGCTATTATAGTGATTAGTTGGCTGTTGGCAGGTTGGTTGATTTGTTCATTGTTTGCAGGTTGTATTTATGAATTTAAGGATGAGGGAGGAGAGAATGGAAAAAGATATAAGACAGTGGTTCTCAAAGTGGGGGTCTCTGAGGTGGTTCCAGGGGGTCCCCAGCAAAAAGGGCAATCATTTATTTTTACTATAATTCCATCCATAAGTAAGTATTTTGGTCATGGATTTCATACACTTTCCGGAACAAAACATCTAAAAGCCAAAATCCTATCAAATGGGCGATCCTGGACAAAACCTTCTCAAATGGGAATTATCAAATTTGCGTCAGTTTAGGCATCCTTGACGTGAAAAAGAGAACCACTGGTATAGGAGATATCTTTTATCAGGAATACCATTTTCATTTTCCCAGTCATATTGCTGTTGTCAGTAACAAACAGGGTACCATATTTTGTCATTGTATGTGGATAGATACATGGAGGCATAAACATTTCCCACAGTTAGTTAGAGCAAATATTTGTAGAGATTGTTGGGTTGGGAGATTGCTGAGTCTGTTGGCAGGTACTGTTGGTTGGTCTGTTAGTAGTTTAGTTGATTGATAAGGTCAATTACCAACACATTCTCATTCCCAACTTGTCACATATGGAAGCATGATCAAGACCCCTTGGCTTGTTTTTTAACACCCTGGGTACCCCTTTTGCTTTGTTTTTGGATATGTAGGGATCGGTGGTCATGTTAGCAACAATAAATATGCAACGTTCGGTTAGACTCTCAAAATAAAATTAGTGGATAACATTGTGAAATGTCGCAATTTGGTTAAGTTTAGGCACTAAAACTACTTGGTTAGGCTGCTTGTAGCTAGCGTAACCTACATAATTTCACTAAAAACAATCAATGTTTGTTTCACACAAGAAACGAACACTGGCCTCCTGGGAGAAAGTCCAGTTTCATAAATGAGGCTATGGGGCTTCCGAGTGAATTACAAACTGACGCCAACAGCTCTTGACCATGCATCCATATGTGACAACTTAGGAGAGGGAAGATTTGAATGACAGACTAAGTGACTGATTGCTTGACATTGTCATACATAGAAACTGCATCTCTATCACCAGTTACAATCATAACAACTTGTTTAAGTATCTGCACATGGTAATGGCAGTATGCTATGTCCACCAGTTATGAGTTGTGGTGTTGTTTTGACCTCGGTAGACGTTTTGTGAGAAACCTGAGTTGCATGCTCTAGGGTTAGAGTTAGGGTTAAATGAAAAACAACTTCTACATAAAGCATGAGGCGCAGAGTTATCCAATATAAGTGGAACCCTCGCCATAACCTTAACCATTGAAAGGGATATTGGGCCAAGAAATCAACCAGTTTCTCCAGTTCGTGTCCTAGTTGTATTAGAGTGAACTGAACACCAATGGGTACAACTTTGTACAAGTTGTCTTCCTGGCAATATGTGCACAGCTTGCTGGGTCACTCAGATACAGTACATTTATGAATATGAAGATCAGCGCACAGCTTTCAATACTGTTATTACTCTGAGACACAACCATAAATCCAAGGGTAATTGAGCTCTAGTGTTTTTTCTAAGCGAAATGGCAGAGTGTCAATGTTCTAGACACACCTTCTCGGGCACTTCCCCCCGCGCTCTGATGGCTTTATCTTCAAATGTTATGTTAATGTAATCACTATAACACAGAGAAAGTGCTGAGTCGCTCTTTGCACCGTCGTTACCGTCATTCATGAGTGATGAAGTAATTTGCATCGAAGGCTCACAAGCTTTGACAAGAACACCTAACAAGTTTTCTAAGCTGCCAAAAACAGTTTTTCGATGGGTAAAGCGTTCTCTTATCTCCCCCCGTTTGTTTCTCTGACTCTGTAGCTCTGTTTATCGGATTATGTTCTCTGGCTCACAGTGAGTTACTGTCAAACTTTTCTGTGAATCAGACTTTGCTGGTTTTACAGCTTTATCTTTCTTATCCCCATCTGTCATCACTTGCTGCTTTTATTTAATTTTCTACTTTACCCTTAACTTGTTTTCCACTTGTGCTATTTTTCACTGGCTAATATCTTCTTCCTGCTTTTCATGCATTTAGTCTTTTGGAACTCTGAGAGCTTTCTCTGTTGTCTGTTTCTTCACTAGTTTCCTCTTCTCTTCCCTCTGCTCTATCATTCCCAATACCACTGTTTCAGAAAATACATTCCCTTGTTGACCCCCACTTCTCCTTTTCTCTCCTCCCTCCACCCCTCCATCTCTGCCCCCAGGATGTTCAGATAGTGAGTACGGACGAGAACCAGGTCTTCCTGGCCCTCCAGGAGTGGTACCAGTCAGACACATATAACCTGTACCAGTCGGACTCCCAGGGTGTCTACTATTCCATCGTCCTGGAAAATGTTCGCAGCACCAAGCAGCCAGAGGAGAATGTCCTCATCGACGTTCTTGAGGTGAGATGGAGTGGAGGAGTGGGACATTATGCATAGAATACTAGTACTGGTACATAGAGTACTTTGCAAACAAACCTCAGTTTTAAAGTGCATGAAATTTCTATGTTATTAGTTATAGCCCCGTGAACACAGCTGAGTCCAAATCTAAGCAGGGTCTAAATGCTAAATGTAAGCTCCATCTCCACACAGTGTTATCTGTGTCCAGAGCAGCCAATCGGTGTAAAGCTTGAAAAAGAACCATTTCGTCATGCTCACCGGATAAAGCTGTCACAATGGTTTATTTTTTTCATTGTCAACAAATCCCGTTAAAAGACCAAAACTAACAAAGTTTTAGTCTCTTTCTGACTTTCCTACCCTGTGTGTGGAACAAAAAACCCACCGGTGCCAACTGATGTTGTGAATCTTTAAAAGTTAGTAGGGATGGCCGGAGTAGCTGGAGTGAAAACGTCCAGGAATCCAATAAAAAGCAGGAAAGAACCACAAAACTGGAACTGTTGTGGAGAAATACTACACAGTGGACATGCTAGTGGTAACCTTTAATTTCACAAGATAATGTAAGTTATGACTTTGGACCTAAAGCTAAGTTACTGTTGTAGATGGTAGGCTAGTTAGATGGACATGCTAACCACTTACGTTAGAGCAGAGAAACAGACTGTTTAATCCATTTCTTACAATTTTGCGCTCCAAAGGCTTCCCCCTTCAAACAAGTGCAGAGTATCGCTCAAACTACAGACCCATGCACACCACTTCAGTATGCAGTATGTAAATCCAAAGCTACTGGTCAATCATTGTTTGGGGCAAGGGTTTAGCAAACAGTCAGTTATACAGTAGGCACAATGACTATTTTTCCTCCACCTAAATAGATATTAAATGTATCTATTCAGTCACTGATGTCTTACTTTACTTATTCAGGCAATCTTACATTAAAAATGTAGACATCTGTTTAAGGTCTCAGACGCTTTCATTCTGTGTGTTCTAGCAGTCTAGCAGCTATTGTTCATTTCTGTGTCACCTGAGCGTTTTGGCAAGGCCTCTAGATAAATGGGTGCAGAGGACATGAACACAGTAGAGGAGGAGGAAGGAGAAAGGAAGTGTTGGAGGAAAAGGAAGAGGAGGTGGACCATGTATTGCAAAGGACCTCACTACAGAACTCATTTCCTCCTTCGCTCTCATCCCTCGCTCCAGGCTGCACTCTCATCATCACATGCTGTAGCTACAGATAGAGAGGCAAACAACATACAGGGGACGGATAAAGACGTGGGGCAGAAGGAATAAACAAAATGGAGATGAAGAAGTGCAGACAGAAACAAGAGAAGTCAGAAGTCCAGAGGGAATACAAGCAGGCTTATGTACTTTGATTTAAACAATTACGTTGTTTCACTCTATAAACATCAGTGCTACATAATAGATAGCAAAGGGAGCTGGGGGAGTGTGCGGATGGAGACATGTCTGACATGCTGCCAGGCTCTGTTTAAGTGTTCGTCTGCGCTGTCTTCATCGTCGTCTCGCTGTTTAATGTTTCAACTTCAGAGCCTGTAGCTAACAACCTCAAAGCTTCAAAAAAAAACATGCAGTATGTATTGATTTCAGTGAATTAAACTTTTACAGCCCTGCAGTCTGTCAGTGGTTTCCTCCAAGTAACATGCGTTGCTCTGTAATACACCGCGCTATGGGTAATCAGCTTTCAACCACTGCTGGCAGTTAAGAGGCACGTTCTCTTATGTTCTGGTTAATATTCTATATGTAGCTGTATAGTTCAACCCAGTTCTCCCCTCATCCCATATTCTCTGACTATGTTGGGAAAATTACAATTTGAAGATCCGGTTACTCGATTAAAGTGAGATTTTGGATGTTTTGAAAGAATTGATAACACATTGTTCCACTAACAAATGAAAAGTTTAATTCGTTAGCCATGAACAAAGCACCCTTGTTTGTATGACCAGTAGCTTATAGTGGCTGTTGTAAGCTACTGTTAGCAAACTTTAGATTAATATTGTATAACTGACTTTAATGAGTCTCTTCACTGACTTTAAGATTCTTCTTTGCTTGTGCTACTGTAAATGCTACATTTTAGTATTTACTATTGGACTGTAATTTCCACTTGTGGCCACAGTTCACTGTTGTTGTTATATGTATAATTGAGCGGAAAAAAGAAAAAATGATGAGTGACAGTGACGAGTGTCAATGCTACATTATGCCATTGCTGTGTTACTTTATTAACTTACTGTATTAAGTTAACACTAGCTATTGTAAATCTGCCTTGCTTCCCAGGTACGTGGAATTAAAGGAGTCTTCTTGGCCAATCAGAAGATCGATGGCAAGGTTACAACTCTCATCACCTATAACAAAGGACGAGACTGGGAACCCTTGGCCCCACCCACTATTGACATGAATGGCAAGCCAATCAGCTGCAAGGCGGTGAGCACTGACTACAATGTGATAACTGCTGTTAGTTTGCAGCTTTAAAGTAAATGTGTTTGCAGTTAGCATGTCCACATACCAGTGTAGTCAGGTTCCAATATGGTGTTTGGTTAGGGCTGACCTCGAATAGTCGAAGAGTTGATGCTTCAATGGGCGGAGCATGATTTGACTGTCAACAGGTGCGTTTCACTTCATGCAGCGCTGCGCAGCGCTGACTTATCGTGATGCATGCTGGACTTAAAATAGGGCATGCTGGCTAGAAACTTTCGACAGCACTGCAAAATGTCACCGTGTCACATGACATTAAAGCCTCGCGGGAGTAAGGCGGCTGCAGGCACAGTTGCTTTTCTCTGGCTGCACAAAAGTTGGAACCACCTTTTTCTTTGCAAAAGCCGCGAGATCAGTCATTGATCCCAGCTCACAGTAAGCTCCCGCAGGTAGAGTGTCCAGCTTGATGGCGCCGTTTTTATTCCCCGCCCCTGCACCTGCAGCTCATGTTAGACCATCAAGTCGGCGAAAGTCAGCCGCAGTCATCTCGAAAGCACATAATCTCACAGTCCAAGCGTCCCAGCAAAATGAGGATCATGCCATTTTGGCAATATGAGACTGCTGAACGTCTTATTTTACATGGAACTACCACTTTTTTCCCAATAAGATAATAAACAGCCCATTCCAATATAAATATCAACATATAATGCTGTAAATAAACATGTAAAAAGAAAAAAGCTTTTAATAAATGTTTTTAAAGGGCGTGAATAAATCCAATGCGTAACATGTATGTGTAGCCTAGTGTCAGAGAGACGGAGCCCCAGCCTCACCATAATGTCCTCTAAGGTGTGACAGCCTGTGTTCCCTTTAAGGATAGGCCAGACACCTATAACATATGCTAACTCTCACAGAAGCAGGTTCAGAGAAAGGAATAATTTATGCAAGGTATCATGGGGTGAGGAATAAGCTGGACAGGTCAGATCCATGACAGGTAGCAGTGCTTTGCTGTCTGCCACACTTTCTGTCTGAAATTCTAAACCTAGTGGCTTGAAAATATTTTTATTTTCATTGATATACTTTTACGGTGATGTGAAGTGCACTCCTAAAGCTGCACATACTTGATACTGCTACTACTCGCCTATGTATTCAAACTTTGTATCTGTCAACCAGGCTGTTCAGAATGTGAACACACAGTCACAGAAGTGTTGTGCTTTGAGGAATGTGTATGAGAGGCCTGCCTACAGCAGCTTGTCCATTCAGCTTGTCAAAGTTGCTCCTGCGGTGCTAGGCCAAGAGCAATGACTCACAGCAGTCTGATATCCATACATCCCACCTCACAGGGAGATGCTGTAGCAGGAGAGCGAGTCTGATCCTTTATTTGAACCACCACTCTAGTCAGCTGACAGATTTAAAGGGAGACAGCTCCAGACACACACACACACTTCTTCTTCTCGTTGGCCTCCTGTATTCATGTTTATTGACGAGAGAGACACACATCATCTCGCTGACATTACCAGTCACCAGGCTAGACAAAGCCAGATACTAGATTGAATTTGTCACTGTATCAGGCACACATGTCAGCTTTACCCATTACCTTACCATCTGACAGAGGCTGCTGACAGTACTGACCTCTTGTACGTACAGAAGCGCTTTGTCACAATGTCTGAATGAAGTGTATTGGAGATGTATCCACACAATATGGTGTTGGAACAAGGACAAACAGGTATTTAGCGTTCCCTCTAAAATGAGATCACCATGCTGTGTATAGACAATGATATAGTAATGGTATGGTATAGTAATATGAGCTGCTAACACTTCAGACTAATTTATCCTAACTCCCTGAAACTGAGAAACACACGTGGTCTGACGCTTCAGTGTTTTTGCAAAGTGATGGATTTGTGTCAGACAGTCTCATGCTATCCGTTATCCTCTGCCTATTGAGGTTTAAAGCGTCAAGATCAAAGTCCCTGATGCTCTTATTTGAAATGAATTAGCATGCATTAAAGATCTTTCCCCATGTTAAATTTGATTAAGAGCACAGCTCCTCATGCTAAGCTGTATGTCTGCAGGATCATCAGGTGTCTGTGTGGTAAGACTTAAATGTGTTCAGTTTCCCTACTATACCTCTGAAGCTATTTTCTAGTATTAAAACTCCTTGTTACGGATCTACTGTGAAACGAGCTATTAAAAGTGCATCTGTGTGTATGGCGTGGAAGAATGACCCCCTTGAGTTTCTGTTCTGCAGCCCGACTGTCACCTCCACCTCCACCTGCGCTGGGCGGACAACCCCTATGTGTCTGGGACTGTCCACACCAAAGACTCTGCTCCAGGTCTCATCATGGGTGCTGGTGAGTCTCCAGAGCAAATACTGTTTCTTTCTTAACCGTGTGTGACCTTCTCTGTGGGTGACCTTTTATAAATCTTTTTCCAACTTGTTAATTGATACAATCAATGTTTCTGGTTCACCTATAGTAAGAATTGTAACCCCCCCCCCCCCCCCCCCCCCCCCATAGATAGATAAATAGATGGATAGATGGATAGATGGATGGATAGATGGATGGATGGATGGATGGATGGATGGATGGATGGATAGATAAGTATATACTCACATATCGTCGCATGAATCCTTTCTGTTTCTCAGTTTGCACCTCCTCTCCTCACATATTAGTCCCTCCCTCCCAAGATGCGAGCGGAGGAGTTGAGGCATTACAGGCATTTAACAAAATAAGCCATCCTTGATTTGGAGCCTTGATTTTAAAGCAATCATCTGTCCATTGTTCTGTTACGGCCCGCCACTGTATTGTATGAGCTCTGTTTGATGAGCATAACAGTGTTCTTGAGAGCTCATATATTTACTTGTGATTATGTAACATGAATGTGTCGCAGGACTTTTGGAATGACGTGCAGACTGCATAATGGGCAATTTGACTTCTATATGACAACATGACATACAGCCAATCAAAGAGAATGTTATTGTTATCGCAACAATACACATCAACATCTGAGAAAGTCAGACAGAACCACACATGTAAGAAAACTGTTTAGAAGAAGTAGACGTAGCCGCTGTGACGTCACCCATTGGTTTCTGCTTTGAAGCCTCGAGTTTGGAATATTGGCCGTCACCATCTTCATTTTTTGGAATCAGATGTGACCATATTTGGACGAGAGGTTAGAGCTGGTGAGGAATACGCTCTGGTAACTACCAATCACAAGGTATCCAAGCCCTAAACCATACCCTGCTTTATTGTCTATTTCTTTTTGTGATGTGATTTGTGAAGAAGACTTGAAGGTGGTGGTTGAGATCATAAACTCATTAAGAAATTATTAACTGAGGTAATAAATCAAGTGAGAAGTAGGGTCGTTTTGCCTTTAAGTCCAATGCAATCATACTTCCTTTTGCAACAAGTAACAAGTATAGTCGCCCCCTCCTGTTCGTAAGAAAGAATGTAAGTTTAAGGCACTTCCACAGTGGTTCCCGCTTGCTCTTAGTGTCATTATAAAAAGTGACAGACGAGTATCGGCATTTTGGCAGTTGAGGAGAGATCAAATTGAATATTTCTCATATTTAGATACAATGTACAAGAGCGAGACTGATGATACTGGATGTGGCAGTGTTTGTGGATTATAAATGCCCATGTGTGTCTTTGTTTCTGTGTGTGTGGTTTGTTTTTGTCTGCAGCCTCTACAATGGCACTCCATTATATGCAAACAGTCGACGTGGCTGAGCTTAAAAAAGTGTCACTCCTTCAGAAACAAACCTCCATTTACCCTGAGAAGAGCTTTGACTCAAGTATTCCTTTTTTGTCTGTGCAATGGTGGGGTATAAATCCACACTGCCTCATGCCTGAGCGCTCTAACACACAGAGGAGTCCACCGAACTGCCAGCCATTTTACTTATTGAATACTTCACCATGTTTGTTTGTGCACGGGCACTCCTGACGGAAAGCAAAACACTGAATAAGGATAAGTGAGCCGCCTGTGTCTCTTTATGGGATAGGGAAAAGAAGCTATCTAGGTCATGCCTTGCATCTCTCTGTCCGCTATTGGGAGACAATTTCTGCCAGAAAAGAAACCAAACAAAAGCCATGCAATGTTTTGTACAAAAATTTTATGTTATTTCAATCGAAATCATGACCTTTTAAAGAGGCATTCCACCAAATTTACACATGAAAGTCCAGTTTACTTATGAGGACCACTACTCAGCCTGTGAAATCAGTAGAATGCCTTTTTGGACTTCAGGGGTCTGATAAAAATAAGGGTTAGGGACTTCCTTCTTGTTTGGCGTCTGCTTCTAAACTTAAAAGTAAAACCCAGTAAGTAAAAACGACGTCTAATAATTATCCTTCCCCTTGCCTCAAACTGTGCACATTTGATGACAGCTGCAAAATACAAAAATCGCCATTAAGCATTGTTATTATACCAAATTAGGAAATATTTCATCTGTTATGTCTTATAGAGGCTATGCAAGAACAGCACATATATCACTGGGATGTCAAAAAGGCTAAGACATAAAATGAACAGCGTGTTCTCTAACATTGTGACGTCAGATCCCAGAGAGGTCTGAGACCTGAAAGCCCTCGTATAAACAAACTGCGGTAAAACTCCAGTAATAGAAACCAATAGGCTGGGTTTGGATGGAGAAGTGGTGTGTGAAAAGTATTGTCAATACCAATCACAGATGTAAATCTACACTGTAAGAACCAGCTTATAGAATTTACTCAATAAACATGAGGTAACGATTTGCATTCTAGTTGTCTGAGTACAAGTGAAGGGTACCTAAATGTATTAACTATAATATTCTAAAAAGAATTAGGTAAAGTCTACCTAACATTTTTAAATACATTATACAACTGATTACTTATAAAAATTGAGTAATATTTAACGATTTTAATAATATACCGTTCAAAAGTTTGGGGTCACTTATTTTTTAAAGAAAAGCACTGTTTTAATCAATGAAGATAAAATTAAATTAATCAGAAATCCAGTCTAGACATTATTAATGTAGTAAATGAATATTCTAGCTGGAAACGGCTGATATTTAATGGAATATCTACATAGGTGTACAGAGGCCCATTTCCAGCAACCATCACTCTTGTGTTCTAATGGTACATTGTGTTAGCTAATTGTGTTAAAAGGCTAATTGATGATTACAAAACCCTTGTGCAATTATGTTAGCACAACTTAAACCTGTTGTGCTGATTAGAGAAGCTATAAAACCGGCCTTCCTTTGAGCTAGTTGAGTATCTGGAGCATCAGCATTTGTGGGTTCGATTAAACTCTCAAAATGGCCAGAAAAAGAGAACTTTCTGCTACATTTCCAACTATGGTGTGTACTGCTCTCTTCAGCACAAACGGGCTCTAACCAGAATAGAAAGAGAATTGGGAGGCCCGGGTGCACAACTAAGCAAGAGGACAAGTACATTGGAGTCTCTAGTCTGAGAAATAGACGCCTCACAGGTGCTCAGCCGGCAGCTTCATTAAATGGTATCCGCAAAACGCCAGTCTCAACGTCCACAGTGAAGAGGCGACTCCGGGATGCTGGCCTTCTAGGCAGAGTGGCAAAGAAAAAGCCATATCTGAGACTGGCCAATGAAAGGAAACGATTAAGCTGGGCAAAAGAACACAGACACTGGACCAAGGAAGATTGGAAAAAAGTGTTATGGACAGACAAATCCAAGTTTGAGGTGTTTGGATCACACAGAAGACCATTTTGAGACGCAGAACAAGTGAACAGATGCTGGAGGAGACGCCATCTGGATCACTCCATTTTGCAACGCCATGCCATACCCTGCGGACAGCGCTTAAATGGAGCCAGTTTCCTCCTACAACGGGACAATGACCCAAAGCACACCCCCAAACTATGCAAGAAATATTTAGCAGTCAGCTGGTATTCTGTCTGTAATAGAGTGGCCAGCGCAGTCACCAGATCTCAACCCTTTTGAGCTGTTGTGGGAGCAGCTTGACTGTATGGTACGTAAGAAGTGCCCATCAAGCCACTCCAACTTGTGGGAGGTGCTTCAGGAAGCGTGGGGTGAAATTTCTTCAGATTACCTCAAAAAATTGACAGCTAGAATGCCAAAGGTCTGCAAGGCTGTAATTGCTGCAAAATGGAGGATTCTTTGACGAAAGCAAAGTTTGAAGGACAAAATTATTATTTCAAATAAAAATCTGTATTTCTAACCTCGTCGATGTCTTGACTATATTTTCTATTCATTTTGCAACTCATTTGATGAATAAAAGTGTTTTCATGGAAAACATGAAATTGTCTGGGTGACCCCAAACTTTTGAACGGTAGTGTATATAATAATCTAAAATAACAATAATACAAAAGTTGTACAATATAACTAACCAGCTATTACTTCAAGGAATGTCAGCTTTACTTAAAAAATGTTACAAAAAGGACACTGATGATGCAATGCCAGTCACTTCTTATTCCAACCAGTCTATTAGGGCGGCTACTGACAATGTGGTGACGTGACTCTAAGTTATGGTGGCTCACCATTGCAAAATATATACTTGCACGGTCACAAACCAGTGATCTCAGGCACGTGAGGCAGACACGCTGACGAGGAGGCTAAAACCCAGTCTTTAAGTTTAGACCCAGTTCAAAAGCACAGTCACAATTTCCCAGCAGTCAGTGGGGCACTTTCAGGAAGACTCTCCTGGCTTCAACAAATTGGTGTGTGTAGGCCTACGCAGCGGGGCCGGATGACATTAAAACTTCAAGTGTAAAAGCCAGGATCAGAGTTAAGAGTAAGATGTTCAGAGTTAATATTTATACAATTACACTTACAGGTTTGACTCAGTGACACTTTGTTTTTACACAAGTTCCTCATCAACTGAGAGTCTGACTGTAATGGATCTGACTGTATCAGAGTAGATATAACTCTACATTTACTCAAATTTCCCTAACACCAAAATGCTCTTCTCAATTTGCTGTAGACTTTGTTTTTTTCAAACACAAAGTCACTTAATAGTCAGACAAAAACAGTCCTAATTCTATCCCTAGGCTCAGGACTTATGTCTTGAATCTCTGAATAGATTTTAATATGTTTTTTATGTTGCAATTGTAACTGTTAAAAAATAGGTAGTGTAGCTACAATTTACCCATATTATAGATTTCCCTTGCTGACTAATTTACATTCAGTAAAGTTTTAATCATTTGTATGGGTTGTATTTACCACCCTCCAAAATCCTTTTTTTCAGTGCATGTTTTACAGCTGAAGTCTCTGAGACCCTGAATAAAAGTAATGTCATTTTCTGTAGTGCACTTATGAAACTCATCAGCTACAAATCAGGTTTTGAATCATTTCTCATAAGATTAGGGAAAGCGTCCAGCCCATTTGCTGAGTATGTTCTTGAGCAGTTAAATAGGAAGGGGTTAAAACGATGACAACGCGAAAATTAAAAAATCAATGTGATTTGTTAATAAGTCCATTTTTTTGACTGAACCTTTTGACTTTACTGTTTGATTTTTTTCCCTAACTTTATCATTTCTAGTTTTCTTTTCTGGGCAGTCATTGACCTCAATTAATCTTATTTCTAACAGACAGACATGACATAGACATTTTTCTTATCAAACAAAGCAAACCCACCTTTTCTGTCATATTTAAGCATATTTAACACATTTTTAGGTTCATTAGGTACAATTTTCCAAGGCCCTCTTCCCATTTGGTAAGTTGCTAAAGGGAAAGTAAAGCAATAAGGAGTTCTAAGGAGGAACCCTGGACATCTGCAACGTCCTGTCTGTTTGCTTATTCACTATCTAGTCTCCTCAGATCTGTTCTCTCTGTGTTCTCCCCTCTCTTTGAATCTGTTGTTGTTGCTCGCCTCATGTGAGCCTCCCTGTCTGATGAAATTTTCAATTCCTCGTCTTTCCTCCAGGTAACCTTGGTTCCAAGCTAGTGGAGTATAAGGAAGAGATGTACATCACTTCAGACTGCGGGAAGACGTGGAGACAGGTACTTCACGTCCTCCTGTGCCTCTCTTTTCCCCTCTCTCCACTCTGCACCCCCCTCTCTGCTGTCCCCCTCCTAACTTCTCACAACCTGCAGAGATATAAAATCCAATCTCCCCAGGTTTCTTTTTCTCCACACTGTTTTTTTTAGTATGGCTTGTACAACTTGGATGATACATTTTGAAGATAAACCACCCCCCAACCTTTTTATGTTACACCTTTCTAGGTTTTCGAGGAGGAGCATCACATCCTGTACCTGGACCATGGTGGGGTCATTGTTGCCATCAAGGACACCTCTATTCCCCTCAAGATCCTCAAGTAAGATTACTGTTGTATCACTGTATCAATGACGAGACTGGCTGAGATCATTATGTTCTTGACTTTCTTTTAAAAAACATTAGTCATAGTCATAAAACAAAGACAACCAAAAGCCAGGCTGAAAGGTTTGTTAACCTGCATATATACAATTGATCGTGTTGACGTCGTCATGCATCATCATTATTACCCTGGCTTTGCCTTGGCACCCTATTTTAATTGACAGCGTAGGTGTCAATTAAAATAGGGTTTCAATTTTGATTCATGAATGTGCAAAAGAGCTGAACGAAGTGGAATATAGATCAGAGGGTGATTCAAGACATCGCCAGCCAATCGCATCACTGGTCTCGTCCCTCTGAAACAGCTGAGCCAATCGCAGAGATGCAGGCAACAATCGTTCAGCTTTACCGTGATCACATCAATCAGTCATAATTCAGTATAACACGTGATGCAATTCAACAATAAAACATGGAGCACCACTTTTGCTACAAAGACAGTTGGGAGGAGGCTACCAATCAACCTGTGAGTCCCGCTGCTTTCAAACGCTACAGGGATTTAATGAACTGAAGGAGATGCTTTTTATAAAGTCTAAATCTGCTGTGGACGGCAGATACTGTAAGTGTATCGTTGATCACTGCTTTAACCATATTAAACATCTAAAAGCTTGGGTAGGCAACATTGGAGAATCAGCAAGAGATTTCATGAAATCATTTCATCCGGCGCTTATTACAGTCCTTTCAACAGCTACAGATACTGGATTGTTTTCCTTTCTGTGTCAGAGCATTTGATTTATTGATTGGATATAAAATGTGGGTATAGATGCAGACAGAGAGACTGAAGTTTAAAGGTTTATTTGACAGGAGAATGTGCAGTGACGATCTTCTGGTGGGGAATTTCTATGAGCGGGGTAGCGGGCAGTAGCAGGGCAAAAACCCAACACGGCAGACAATGGCGCTCTCCTTCTCCAGATCCAATAACCTGAAGCACGCAAGCAAACGAGGACTCGGGGAAAAGTCATGCAGCTAGAAAAAGGGCACAATTCAAAGTACTGTCTCAAAGTTTTGGCCAGAGCATGAATACCACTGAGGTGAAAAGACAATTTGTCAAGGAATAGAGTGTTGAGCCAGTGTGTAAACTGATTATAGATGGTCGTCAGCAGCGCAGAGGAGCAACAGGTGATTAGATTATTGGAGTCTAGGGAGGAGAGCCAGGAAGGGCCCCACCCAAATTCACACAGGGAGAACAATCACATCTACTGGCTGCTGAGTGTTTAATTAAAATAGTTTATTTACATTTCAAGCATTATACCATTATTGCTGCTTTTTTTATTATTATGATTATTTTGGGTGAACTGACCCGTCAAAGCCCAAAAAATCAGTGCATGGAGTGTTGGTACGGGCTTCAGAGCTTCTATACAGGGAAAGATCAGTTAGTTCCCGGTCTAGCACTGTACCCTTCAAAATCATTTAAGATCATCCAACTCTCTCACAGCTCACACAGACTATTTTAAGCTCAGCAAGATGTTATCACATCAACCTTAATAAATAAGGATGAAATAATGAGAAACCACAGATAAGGGAGTACTCAGAAAAACATTTATCACAGACCTAAATCTAATGACCTTTCAGCGGGGCCCTCATCTGTCCCTCTGTGAACTTGTCCTTCACGTTTTTTTCCCTCTCTCATGCCTCAGCTAAATCAATAACCCCAAAGGCTCTGGCAGTGTGGTGGAAAACATGTCGTAAAGACCGTGGAGAGCTGTGAAAGCGTGAGAAAAGGCAACTTCTTCAAAGTGAGATGAGCACAATTTTTACCACTTCATTACACAAGATGACCGTATTGTTATCACCTCATCAGGTGCTGAGATTTCTGGCCTCCAAAACTCTCCCTGGCCTGCGTTCAATTTTGTGCAGCCAGAAACTCTCATCTTAGTTTCATGACCCCCAATAATTCTTTCTTTCTCAACTGCTCCATAATGGAGCACAGTGTTTTTTGTGAGAGACTGAAAAGCATTGTTCTCAAGCCAAAAAAACCAATGAACGAACAGCAATGTTATCCTAGTGTTTCGCACATTGATTTCTTACACGCCTGCTCTAATTAGTCTCTATTGAAAAACTGCAACTTCACTGTTATAATGGCATTCTGTTATGGGTTGCAATTCCAAGTGGTCTCCCAACAGATCAGTAAACATTGTCAAGCCCCGTTTTTGATTCTATTCAAAGCAAGAAAAGTGGGAACTGCCCGGGGCAAAAAAACCCCAGGTTTACTGTGCGGCCATTCTTTATGGTCATTTGATTATTTGTAGCTTTGTGTTACTGGACTATGCACTACTACAGCACATCTACTGACATGATAAGGTCCTTAAGGTGGGTCCTGCTCTTTCACCTGATGTTGACACAGGGCCACAGGGCCTTGTGTTGAATGTAGTTGAAAGACCATTATTTCAGAGTCTTTGTTGTCAAGGTGCGTATTCTTAAATGAATTTGTGTTTAATCAAATGACCTCATAGCATGAGAATAGAGAATAAATTGCATTCACTGCATGCAAGTATTAATTAATATGATTCCTGATTAAGCTGGGCAACATATTTGAGGCATTCTTTTGCAAAAACAGATATTTTTTTGTTTATTATCCTAAATCATGTTTTTTTAGGGTGAGCTGCAAATGATATTAATCGATGTTCTTCTTTCTTTCATCTCTTTTGCAAAGTAACTCATGTAATATTAGATTATATTAAGTTTTATTAGCCTTGTTACTCACAGGTAATATTTTGATTTATTTTACACAGTAGTATCCAACGTTTCATCCTCCAGCTCTAGAAGACTTAGAAGTCAGGGCAGCAGGGATTTTGTTCTTCATACTACATAAAGTACGGAGTTCTACTCTTTAAGAATAAGCGCTTTTAATGAGACTGTGTGGACAGAGCTGACAGAAAAAAGGAAACAGTAGGAAGGCTAGAGAAAGAGAACTACAGCAATAGACAGAGAAAGGCTGAGGACAAGGCAAGCTGTAGCAAGAGAGGCATTTAGAGGAGAGCCAGGAGAGCCCTTGTCTCTGTGAAGAACCCCTCTTGACCTGAAACGCTCATTCACCAAGTCAAGTCCCCAGCATTTAGACACTCATAATGCTTTCTACATCCTGAAAACAAGACTTGTTCCCCGACTCCGCAGTGCCAGAGTCTCCGAAATAATTACACCATGTCCCCATGCGGGGTTAGGCTATCTACAACTGTGTACATCAAAGGAATGCCATTTGCAAGGCCGCTTGAAGAGCTGCGCATCTAGACTTTTAAAAGTCACACACTGAAATCATTTCATGTAATTCCCCAGCTCCTCTCACAGTTTTTTTAACACTGGGTAACTCAGACAATGCATTCATATCAGTTAATTATGGAAAGCCAGCAGGCTGAGAAATGAGATGTCACCATAACACGGCGGCTGGACAGGATTGTGTTATGTACACTTATGATTTATGATTGGATCCATGTACAATAAGTCTTGTTTTAAGGTTTCTTCATAGCACTGGAGGAATGGAGTAAAGGCTGGTGTGTGGCATGGAGCATAATTATAAGTTCGGCTCGCTAATCTATTTGATTACAGGGCTATCACTCCATCCATTTCTAATAATTCCGCGGGTATTAGCTGGAGGAAATGAGATATAATTGGATGTGTGACTGAGGGACATCGGTATGTAGAAGGCTGTAGTTGTCCTTGGCTGTAGGATGAAAATAGGTTGTTTAGTGCCTTGCTCAAGGGTAACTAGTCACTGATAGAATGTTCTGGGTGTTACTAATTAGTTTTGGAATTTGAATCATCAGTATGAAAGCCAATCCTATTTAAGGGCAAAAGTGTTTATCGCTGTTCCAAATGACCACACTTAAAAGCGGGGCATAAAGCCTTCCATCATAGCCTCCTCCTGGCTGCATCTCCCTGCATTTCTGATCTCTTTCCAAGAATTCTGTTAGTTAGAAGTCTGTTAAATATCTTTGTAGTCTCGGCAGGAAGACGGATGGGGACACCATTGGACAGTCTCTTCTCGAATGTTTTCTTGGTGTTGAACTCGGCTATACATGTGAAAAGAATCTGTGCGAAGAATGAATAAAGAGAGCTTGAGGGAAATTGACACCCTGTCTACTTTCACACCTCCGTACAGTTAGTAACAAAGTTACAAAATAGTCGGGACCAACAACCTCCTGATACTGCCTTCAAACTTCGATACACTTTTGTTTTTTATCTGGTTTTTCCGGCTTTGTTGCCAAAACATGCGTTACCACTGACATAAATACAGTCATTGGAAGATGGCTACTGGGTTTTTGGATCAAAGAGCAGCAGACTACAATCTACCCGGCCCAAACAACGAGACCAGGCACCACGGTGGGTGTGGTTATCGCTCAGAGGAGAGGAAAGAGAGCCAGGAGAGACTTATTCTGCTCCTAAAGATCCGGTCTGGACAAAATGGGACTCATGTTGACCAGACAATGGAATTCAGAGACTGCTGTGCCCACATTGTTACAGAGAACTGCACCATCAACATCCCGGATCAAGCACTTGGCTGTCAGCGCAAGACTCCGGCAAGATGAGAGGAGGTGGACTCAAACACAGTCAAGAAGGACTCTGTTTCCCAAATGTCAGACTGTTTATTCTGAAGATGAAACTTTCATATTATCATCTGGTCGCTGTTGTTTACATTCACCACAGACGCAAATTCATTAAATGCACTGTGGAATGTTTACGTGTCTATATGTATTTATAGAAATAACTGTAGTGCTGTCCCAGACTAAGGATTTACATAGTCGAATCAGAATCGTCAAGTCGAATCAGAATCGTCAAGTCCTACCTATAGTCGACTGATGGTTGAATCGTGTGTTTTTGTACGCGGAGATTGCGAGCCGAAGCTAAACTGAGGCTTATTGTCGACCATTTTTTCTCTCTCTCACCTGCCATTCACCCGTCTCGTGCAGAGTTTTGTGTGCGTGCCCTGCTGCCAACAACTGCATGCAGTCACGGTTCCTCACGGGTCTATTTCAAGTAGCCGGCTGTTTAAAAACGATATAATATTCTTTATGTGGAAAGTCCCAAGAGGTGCGGACAACTCGGAACAACACCAGTGAAGCTGGAGCTCCGTCTCTTCAGCGAGTGTTCCTCTTCTGCCCCTACACACACATACACGCTACGCCTGCACATGCGCACTGACGACCCAGGGTTAGCGTTACAGTTTAGAATTTATTTACGCTCTTTATGTTTATTTTACATTCACTCATTTGGCAGACGCTTTTATCCAAAGCGACTTGCATTTGAGGAACAACATACAAGCATCAACAGAGCATCTATACAGCACGAGATCTACAACTGACAATACATACTAGTAAGACCTCATAGTTCATATCACATCAATGGGGTAAATACCTAGGGAAGGAAGTAAGAGTTAACAAAAAGTGCAATCAATACAAGATAATTGTAGGGGATAGAGGAAGAAGAGCACAGGAAGTGCATGTTAGAGGTTAGGAGTTAGAGGTGTTATAAGAGGAAGTGTTCTCAGAAGAGATGAGTTCTCAAGAGCTTCTTGAAGTTAGAGAGGGACGCCCCTGCTCTGATGGCATGTGGTAGCTCGTTCCACCATCGTGGTGTCACAGATGAGAATAGCTGGGACTGGGATTGCTTTGTGTGAAGGGATGGCAGAGCCAGGCGGCGTTCGTTGGAGGAGCGTAGCGGCCGAGAAGGATCGTAAGGAACGTAATATTTACAGAATTAAACATCGAAATGTATATTGTAATATGAACTATGAACTTATTGGACAAAAATTGCTAGTTCTATGTAAAATCAGACGTTGACCACCCCCATATCATCAAAATCACATGATCCCTGTTTCGCTGCGAAGCTTCAACTATGAGATTGACAGTCGAATCAGGCAGAAGCATCGAATCTTTGACTATTTGGGGACTATTTATTTTTTATGTTACCATATTTTAATATAGACCTACACTTAATTATATGTTGTGTGTGTAGCATGAAGGAACTACAAATGTAACACAAACAGCCTTGTGCTGTATAATGACTAATAAACTGCCCTGTACCTTGAAAGCCAGTGACACTGTCAGACAATCTGATAAGCACTTTGTCTGAAGCATACTGAGGCCTTTACCATGGCAACAGAGTCTTTAGCAGCTTTGTATATCATTCTGTTTCCTCATTACTGTGCATGTTTACCTGCTGATTATCACATTGTAGTCCTTGTTAGCACACCATTACCACACACAGCCTGCAGTGCGAACCACACATTGCTCGATTCCACATTGATCTCTCTCCATCACGCAGTCACATTTACTCAGCACTGCTGCCACTGCAGGAGTCGTCGGCACAGTGAATAAAGCCGAGCAGATGGCTCGCTTTGTCTGTCTTCATTTTTAGTTTGAATCAAATACCAAATAATGTTACACAAAAGATGATCCCATTATCCCAGAGCTAGTTCAAGTTCTGTTATTTAGATCATTTGTATCTTTCTACGGGTGGAAATTTCCTGCTAGTTCATTGTCCCATCCTCTTTCATCTTTTAGTCCATTCTCTTGTGGATATTGTCCTTCAACCAATATGAAATGTACCTATAAAAAAAGCTTCCTTCGGTTGACCCTTTGCTAAGCCCTGCTCCCCTTACTTACTTTTTTTCTCGCATGGCATATGTGCAGTTTACAATAATAACAGAAGCAGATGGATCACTCTTTTGGGGTGATAAATGTGTCCTTGATTTCATATTAAGTGTTTCTCTGAGTTCATGATCACAGACACACTTTGACGTGGACAAAAGCTGACTTCTATTCTAGCTGCTGACTTTCGCTTGAAAACGTGACTTTTAAATGCTTCCAGCTGAGTCTTTTTCAAACAAGATCCCGGTAAAATGAGTCTTACATGCACACCAAGACACAGCTGCTAATGTTGGCCTGCTAGAGATGCTAACCAACAAAGCTTATCCCAGAGCTGATAATCACATTGTTTAACCCCACTGGTTTTGGTTTTACATTTATTCATTTAGCTGACGCTTTTATCCAAAGCGACTTACAATTGCTATATTGTGATTGTGTTATTTGTCATCAATGCCTCAGTTGGAGTAGGCCTACCGGTGATTTTGAACACTACCTGTTTCTCCACAGGTTTAGTATCGATGAAGGAAGGACGTGGACCATTCACAACTTCACCAGCACCTCTGTGTTTGTCGATGGACTCCTGAGCGAGCCAGGAGACGAGACCCTGGTTATGACGTGAGTAAAATCACAATTTCAGCAGGAGAAATGTTCGGTTTCAGGACTGCAGTCAAAACAATAAAATGAAAGTCCAGATAGGTTTAGTTGAATTCATCGTAAATGGTCTGAAGACTTTAAATTAATTCAATTAGATCTGAGCTCCTATTCACGTATGAGTGTAAATGACATAAACTAAACACATGGTATCTCCCACACCTCCTATAGTTTTACCCTTTTGTCCTCCCTTCACACTTCTCGCTCTCTGCTTGGTTCTAATGAGTTGTCCAAGAGGGTCGGACAGGGCAGCCCTGCCTGGCCCTACACTGCATTCAAGCAAGCTCAAGTTTCTCTCCCCTCACAACAATTCCCTCTCAATCTGCTGGAGCGGGGCGCCCAATTTCGTGGCGCTAACAGCAGCTGGTCTCACTCCTGATTTCCTGCAAAGCCGTCCTCTCTCTTCACCTCCAGAGGGTTTGATTGCCGTTACAGCAGAGGTTGATGGGAGAGGAGGCCTGTACGTGTCCTCTGCCCTCCCTTGCTGTTTCGCTTTTCTCCACCCCTAGATTTTATTTATACAGTCCTGCTCTGTATTTGTGCACTCTTGAGTTTCTGTCTCACTTTCTTTGTGTGGCTGTCGGCTCTTTGGCTCAGGCTCGACCAGGCTTACACTGGTTCTTTTATTAATACTCAGACGTCAACAGTCTCAACTTTACTTTAGGATTAATGCTACATTGCTTATGTGCTAAAATGTTAAATGTTTGCTTGTGAGTCTGCTAATGTTGACAAATGCTTAATGTTACATAATAAAGTTTTGTGGACTATCATGCTAACATGCTAAAATACCAAATGTTTACTTGAAATATCAGTATGCTAACATTCATGTTAATATACCCAAGGTTACCATGTTGAAGGACAGATTCAGTTTTTTTCTGAACAATTTCTCATCCAATGTGTGTGTTAAAAGAGTTTCTGGTCTCTGCAAACTGACCCTGAAGCTACTAGCATGCTAGCAAGCTGCTAGCATGGCATTATACTCATGTTGTTGTTATCACAGAGTCTATATTGAGAGATTCTTCTGTCCGCTGCTCAACGTCTGGTGAAGCACAAACCTCAACCCTGCCAATTCTTTAGCATGAAAACGGTCAAAATTGAGAATATTGATTATTGACACAAAGCGTAATAATATTAAGCTTCAAGAGTTCATATCTTTTAAGAAGTATAGTCTCTCCCGCTCTCCTTTCCCCAAATCTCTCCATCAGTAAGTTAGCTGGAGTAAGACTTGTCACATCATCTCAGACTCCAGGCCTTGGCCCAGAGATAAGGCCGGCTTCCAGCTGTAATCCGCTGAGAAGGGCAAAGAGATGGTCACACACACACACACACACACAAACACACATAGACAGGCAGTTACACACAAGGAGCAGAGACATGAACACTCAGCCTCACTCACCATTATCTGCCATGTGTCAGACACGCACCCTCTGGGTTGACTCACACACACATATGGACGTCGCCCGTCTGGCTCTGGCGAGATAGGCTCGGCGGCCAAGGAGGGGTGCTGAGGGCAGCTCATGTCTGACAGATTAGCCAGCGTCTATTTCCTTGCTGCTGGATTTCGATTTTTGTTGGCGCAGCCTGCCATCCCATAATGAAGTCTTTGAGGAGTGACTTAGTACCAAGGACAGGTGGGGGAGCAGAGATCGTATACCACTCATACTAATGACAGCTGGTCAAACACTAGAGACCGGACAGACTCATAATGCTGCTGTATGAGAGCATCACGCCAGGCTGTGGTGCTCAAACCATCTTCCCTCTCTAAGGCTACATTCACACTGCAGGCTTTAGTGCTCAATTTGGATTCATTGCTCAGATCCGATGTTTTTGTTTGGCCCATACCAGACTAGACTGAACATGTTCCGCATGTTCAAAAGAACAATAACAAAGACTTCACATGCAGCATGCTGTTGTATGGAAGTAAACATGGAGGCCAGTAAAGTGAGCGTTTCCTTTTCAATTTAAAAGTTGGTGTGCAGTGGAAGCCAGCTCTTACCTTTTCTCTGACACTGCAGCCACATTCTTCTTTCCACATCTGTTTCTGTATGCTTTCAAAAATAGACGAGTTATGGTATGCAGTGTTGGGGAGTAACTTGTTACATGTAATTTAGTTAAGTAATTTAATTACAAAATAAATGTAATTGTAATCTGTTACAGTTACTTGGAAAAAGTTCATGATTACATTGGGGATTACATATTTTCTGTAAAAAGCTACCCAGATAGCAAACTCTTTGCGGGCCACTTCACTCACTAATGTGGCACCCCAGGCCTTCTTGTGGCCAAAACAGACGTGGGTCACTTTAGGTAAAGGTCAGCCAGTTCTGGTTTATTTGGTTTGTTCTTGGTTGACATGCGGTGTGGTTATGGCTCGCTTGCGGCCCAGATCTGGCAAACAAGTGTGGATCATTCCATGCGGTATGTGGGCCGGATGAAAGTGTCAGGTGTGGACCGGATCTGGGCCACAGCAGCAGTCTTTCTTTGCCATTTTCCAGCCACAGCTTTTCATTGGTTCTCATGTTTGAATTTGCAGCGTCTTTCATGTTTGTATTAACCGAGTGGTTTCCACCAGAATTGTGACACGTCCATCTACAATGATGGACCACAAATTTAAATCAGAATTGAAAAGATTGGATTCCATTTGATGTGTGCTGTTTACGCTGTTACAGATCTGAGTCAAATATGAGCTAAGAAATTAGGAAAGATTTGGGCCATTTTTACCTGCAGTCTGAAAGTAGCCTTAGTTCTCTGTACCATGCCTTGTAACAAACACACTTACAAAGACACATTTTTACTCAAAAGAATCCCTGCATCTAATCCAATTCAGTACCAAGCCACTGCTGGAAATGACTTCCAAACACATTCCTGCTCATGTTTTCTCCTTCTAAGCTCTTTGTTTTAATGAGAGGAACGAAAGGAACACATTTCCCTCTGTTAATGAATGTTGATATCTTTTCACTGAGCTGATTGGAGTGTTGTTTGTCCACTAATAGAGCTCTTGTGGCTCTGGAGTGGCTATTGAAAACTAGAAAAAAGTGCTAAATTATCTCTGAGGCTGGTAGAAATTAACACACAAACAAAGCAAGAGTTACACTTCAACTAAAGCTAACAGTGATAATTTTACTGTGTGACACCAGAATACAGTATATCCAATGGAAGCCCCTGGGTTTAAAAGGTCAGTTCACCCAAATTACAATAAATATATTTCCTCACTTAGCCCTGTTGGTATGTACCTTTGGAGATTGTCTTGGTTTTATGTGCTGTCAGAAAATCCACAGACAAAAACATTTCAAACAGTCAGCATCCATTTAGGGGACTGTAAAATATTAATACAGCTGCCACTGACGATCAGTGGTGTGATGTGCCAAAAAGCGTCATGCCAAAGCAAAGCATGACTTAGATGGGAAGCGGTAAAGAGGAGGTGATGATTTTATATAGTGGGTGATGTTATACTGTCGGGTGCAACAGAGGCTGTTTCCTCAAGCTTTATAGACCCTAATTTAGAATGAGACAATTTTCCTAGTAGTTACCGAGCTTTGTGCAATGCCATGTCATAAACATTGCCCAAACTCTAAGTAAACTGGCAAACCATTATGATGAAACGGTGATCCTGAAATTCATTCTGATGCAGCCGTTATGTTTCTTGTGTTTTCCTTGGTGGAGAAATGCAGACTCTGTTTATGACTCATACAACAGCTCTAGACCACTTTCATACCTAAATGAGTACGACAAATTTGGTGAAGACATATATTCTGCTTTAGAGCAAATCTGTTCATGTGTTTCTTCCATCCTCCTTTCAGCAGTTTTAATAGGAGATATTTCATTAGTAGAAAGTAAGTCCATTGAAAACTGTTCTTTGGGCTTGGATTATCCAGATAAACATTGTTTCCTAAAGGAAAAGTGCAGTGCTTTAATCTCTACAAACAAACACCTTTTTATTGGGATGGCAGCAGAAATCTCGGATATCTCAAAACCTCAGGAGACAAAACCAAAACTATCTGCATGGGTAGATACTGCTAGGTGTCAGTGGCACAGCTGCACTATATGGCAGTCACTTTAAGGTGATTTGATGAATTGTAAATCAGTTTGCGAATATTCCAAAGCACAATAAAACTAAAATCATAACTATAACATAACATAACAGTATTTGCATTTTTTCCTAACCTTGAGGCACAGTCTTGTAAAGAAGATCTAGCTTTAATGTCTTTAATATTTTAGCTCTTATTATGTTTAGAAAGTAAACACTTCTAAATAAATGTGTGTCTGTGGGCAAAATATAATAAAGCGATCACGGATAGCCTGCCATGTTAGCTCTACCTGATGGTTACTTGAAAAGGCAGGTTGCGAACACATTACACAGAAAGTGAGAGCAGCTGGGTCAATAGGGCCTAACGTTAATTTTAACCCCCCCAGTAAAGCTAAAGGTGGAGGAGAGAGACAAAATGACTGGAGAACAGCAGACAGACCCCCAGATGAACAAGACAAAAACAACACCGATTAAAGGGTGAGAATGGGAAACGGCAGCGTATGCGAGTCCACAGCCGAGACATCCATCACTTACCTTAGACGACGGCGGTGCTGACAACGTTAGTCATGCTCGCCTAGTGAGGTGAACGCCATCCGCCACAAGCACAGCAGCATATGTCAGAGTCGCTGACGTCACATGAGTCTTTGTCAAAAAATGCTCTGACTGACACACAGGACAAGACAGCTGAGTTCAGGAATGGGAATGGTAGACGTTACCTGCATTGCATTGTAAAACATTACCATCTAGTGGAGAGGAGGGGGAACACCGGCTCTGTGAGGCTTCAAGGCTTTACTACTGTAAGATGGTATTGTAAGAAGAGTTTATTAATGTTCCCAGTGAAGTTATCCACATGTAATGCAGCAAGACAGTTGACATAAAGATTATCTGTGTGTTGACAACACCACTGAAGGGACATCATGACTTGAATGTCAAAGGAAGCCTGATGTTATGTGCAAATAAACGGGCGATGACTCAGAATCAGAATACTTTGTTGATCCCCAAGGTGAAATTCTTCATGACTTGCAGAGTCTTCAAACAAGTGAGTGTTTGGTATCCAAATGATGTTATCCAGGTCTACCTGTAAACAAACTTTAGATCAGGATACCACAGATTACATTTAAGGGTTGGGTTCAGGATTGGCTGAAGACTTGATGATGGTGATGTGAATATGAGCAAAACACATTCAATGTAGATCAGAAAATTGTGTGTAATGGTACCTTATAGGGCTGCGCAATTATCGCGAGATAATTTTCCTCAAGAACAATAGAACAAATGTTCAATAAATGTTCAATTGAACTCATTTGAATCACAAATTAGCACTTAATTTTTCTATTAAGATATTTGTTTTGTTGAGTAAAAGGGACCGAAAAAAGATTTTACATAATTTTACTCATGCGTATTTGTTTAAAAACATGTTTGTATTGAATGTTCTACCTTAGATTTGTGAAGTGATCCACTGGTTGGCATCAAGCGTTTGTTCTGGCCATAAAGAAAAGTTTAAAACCACAATATGCTTTCACTCAGAAGCAAAAATCAACCTTTAAACTTGAAAGAAATAATGATTTAACATTCATTATGATAATTATTGATATAACTATATAAAATTTATCATGATAACATTTTTGGCAATATCTCCCAGCCCAAGTATCTTATTATCCATTATTGTATTATATGAGCAAATCTTACGGAAAAAGACTGCTAAGCAATGTGTATAGAGGGGAAAAGTTAACAAAGATGCTATTGGACGTGAATTTACCGGAAGGCGCAAAATGACGCGTGGCTGTATGAATCAGTTTTCTTACAGAGGTGAGAGGACAAAGGAGAGAGACTGGAGGGACACAACAGGGACATTTGCGGTTTCGGTTGAGTTCAGAGTTCAGTCAAAGGCTGAGCTTAACACAAACACACAAACACACACGTCCGTGTCGGTGGAAGTGCTTCTGTTGCTAGCTGACATACATGCATCTGTTGCTAGCTGACATACATGCATCTGTTGCTAGCTGACATACATGCATCTGTTGCTAGCTGACATACATGCGTCTGTTGCTAGCTAACATACATGCATCTGTTGCTAGCTAACATACATGCATCTGTTGCTAGCTAACATACATGCATCTGTTGCTAGCTGACATACATGCTTCTGTTGCTAGCTAACATACATGCATCTGTTGCTAGCTGACATACATGCGTCTGTTGCTAGCTAACATACATGCATCTGTTGCTAGCTGACATACATGCTTCTGTTGCTAGCTAACATACATGCGTCTGTTGCTAGCTAACATACATGCATCTGTTGCTAGCTGACATACATGCATCTGTTGCTAGCTGACATACATGCGTCTGTTGCTAGCTAACATACATGCATCTGTTGCTAGCTGACATACATGCATCTGTTGCTAGCTGACATACATGCGTCTGTTGCTAGCTAACATACATGCATCTGTTGCTAGCTAACATACATGCGTCTGTTGCTAGCTAACATACATGCGTCTGTTGCTAGCTGACATACATGCGTCTGTTGCTAGCTAACATACATGCGTCTGTTGCTAGCTAACATACATGCGTCTGTTGCTAGCTAACATACATGCGTCTGTTGCTAGCTGACATACATGCTTCTGTTGCTAGCTAGCATACATGCGTCTGTTGCTAGCTGACATACATGCTTCTGTTGCTAGCTGACATACATGCATCTGTTGCTAGCTAACAGCGAACATACTGTTGGGACATGCAAATGTCGCTTCACCTTCTGTCCAACACATTTATTTTGATACCTCTCTCATGTCTCTACGGTGAATATGCAAGCAGCAGCTTAGCCTAGATCCCAACACCTTGGTTTTTGTACAGATTAAGCTAATATCAGAGGTGTTGGTGGCTGGCACACAGCCATGTGAATCCCTTCTGTAACAGGAAGATAGGGTTGTTCCTGTCTTTGAAACTTAAGTTAAGAGAGGACGAGCAGTTAGGACAGATGTTAGTGGCATACAGCTACATGTTAATATTTAATATTAAATAATGTGTTAATTTTGTATCTGGTGTGTGTTCGTAGTGTCTTTGGCCACATCAGCTACAGGTCAGACTGGGAGCTGGTCAAAGTGGACTTCAGGCAGTCTTTCCCCCGTCAGTGTACTGAGGCTGACTACGACTCCTGGCAGCTCACAGACCTGCAGGTAACGAACTCACATAATTGCAGTACAGGCAAACGTATGTACATACACACGTGTGCTTCCATTTCAAACTGAATATTCACTTCTTTGTGGTCGCCCTCAGGGACAGAAGTGCATTATGGGCCAGGAGCGAAGTTTCAGGAAAAGGAAGGACACAGCATTCTGCATCAAAGGAAAAAGTTACACCTCAGCCCTCACCACCAAACCCTGTCACTGCACCGAGAAAGACTTCAACTGGTGCGCACTGACTTCACTGATCCTGTCCTGGATTGTTGTATCCAAAAACCATAGTTAGACAAAGCACAAATAAATATATAGTATTTGAATACGAATAGAGGACACAGTGGGGAATCAAAAAAAAATCCAATCATGTCAGTTAGATCAAATTTAAGAATAATAATTAGAGCATACATTTTTTTTTAAAACTGCAGAAAGATGACAAACTTACTATTTTAATACATGCACATTTATTATATAGGTGTATACAGTCACCAGGGAAAATAGTCCTTTTTGATTGGTATATTAGAATCTTATAATAGTCTAAATCAGTACGTAAAACTGGAAGTAATCATATTACAGTCTTCTCGCTGCTTCGGTGCTTCCATCTTGTCCATTTTTTTCTCAGACTAGCACAATTTGTTGTTTTTATTATGTTTTTAGTAGCATTGTGTGGCAACAAAATTAATCTTAAAGTACATACATGTGTATAATATCTATTATATATTAATCAGACTCATACATGAAGTGCAACGGTGCTGAATTGGCAGGTCAATACTTCTGTCATATCTCTGTGTGTGTTGTCTGCAGTGACTATGGTTTTGAAAGGTCCCACATGGAGGGCAATCGCTGCTTCGCTGACTTCTGGCACGATCCCGATTCACCACCCGAAGACTGCCACCGAGGGCAAACCTACGAGTCCAGCACTGGGTCTGTGCATGCACACAAACGCACAAGACATTTGACCGAAAATGTTGCACGCACAATGTTGAACTAGTCCTTTAAGGACATGCTGTACAGCTCCGTACTCTTACACTTGCACTGTCCTCTGCGGTGTTTCAGTTACAGGAAGGTGATATCTAACCTGTGTGAAGGGGGGCTAAACAAGCAGCAGAGCGGCAAACAGCACAATTGCCCCCTGCTGCCCCCTAAAGGGTTACAGGTCGGCATCAAAGGGCAGATGTTGGCCGTGGCGCCTGGTGATGACATCACATTCATTATCCACCAGGAACAGGTTGGATGAAAGTTGTTGTCTTGTCTGTTTTCCTTTCCTTCCTTCTTTTCAATTTGAATCTGCTGAAAGTCCTCGTTCCTTAACAGGGCGACACTAGCAGCACCAAGTACCAGGTGGACCTCGGCGATGGGGTTCGAGCCATCTACCAGAACCTGACGGTGACAGATGAACCCATTCAGCATCGCTACGAAAATCCGGGCGTATACAAGGTCACGGTGAAGGCCGAGAACATGGCAGGACACGACGAGGCCACCATGTACATCCAGGTCACAGGTCGGTCTCCCAGAAGCTCACTCACTGTTTTTTCATCGTTATTACACAACTGTGAATATTCCTTTCACTTTCTGGGTAGTTCTCACCAGAGCCGTATTTAAATCTTTTGAACCAAGTCAAGTCTTTGAGACATGACATCAATCCCTAATATGAAAATGATTCATATGTCTTGCTTTCTCAGACACTACCCCTGCTGTTAAGAACACAGGTGTGAATCTCACTTCTGTAACTTTTCATTTTCTACTTCCCTGGGTAGAAATGCTTGCCCGCCACTAACAGTGTCGCACACTTGAATTTTATCATATAAAGCTATCTGTGGTGGGATTTAAAGCTTCTTACAGTGGGGATTGGAGGTTCTTGTCTATTTTATTTAGCCTTACTTTGATAAGATGGCTCTGTCTTTGGGCAGCTTAAAAACCGAACAAGGTGGTTTCTTAACGTGGGTTTAAGCTTATTATGAAGACTCACTGAGCCGTCAGTCCCTTTATTTTGTGAAGAATAAATTAGGTTTGGCCCCAGATATTGTCTTATTTGGCGAGCTTGTATGAAACCTTGAAACCTTGACCTGCAATTTCAGGACATTCGGAACCAATCCGTACACCTCCCACTTCCAGTTTTCAGTGTTTGTATTAAATTGTTTTGTATTTTAAAAAATCATGTTTAAAAAATCATGTTTTCTATCTTCTTTTACAGCCCCTCTACAGGAAGTGCACCTGGAAGTGGTTCCCATTGCTGGGAGAAACCATGACGTTAATCTGACAGCTATAGTTCTTCCCACTGAGGCCAACCTGACCGTCTTCTACTGGTGGATAGGAGACAACCTGCGGGTAAAGGACACGCTACAAAGTTCATCTCTATTTTTACATTTCAAAGTATATTCAAATATTACTTTAAAAATAGTTCTGTGTTCCCTTAAAGCTGCATTAGTTTATTTTTGACCACTGGGCATCAAAAGAAGCTGAAAACAAAAGATTTACATATTACCAGCATATAAAGTTGTTATAGCTATACGAACAATGAGTTGAAAGCAAGGACGTAGGTTTTATTTTAACATGGAATCAGAGGTGCTGGTGACCGGCACACAGCCATGTGTTGGACAGGAAGATAGGATTATTCCTGTCTTTGTAACTTAAGTTAATAAAAATCAGTTAGGACATGTTTCTGTAATGAGGCCCCTGTTTCAACTTTGTTCTTACACAGTACTGCTTCAGTGGTGGGTAAGTGAGTAATTGTATTTTGTTGAATAATGTTCCGTTTCTAAAATCTAAAAAAACAGGATAAAATGCAGTAATGCTCTCAGGCCTCCTGTGCTGCTTTCATCTATGTATTCCCCTGTAGAATACTTTTCTCATGTAATCATCTCTACTGAGTCAGCGCACATGTAGTCGTGATATAGCCTCCCCCCCCCCCCCCCCCCTTTTATTAGTCTTTTGTCAGGGGAAGTAACTTCTTCAAAGGTGATTGTGACCCCTTTTCTCATCAATGATACATGAATTCATTTATTCAGTTATAGTAGCTCCTCTGTTTCAGCAAGTGTTCTGCTGCAGTCCAAGACTTTCTGCACATTTAAAATCTACCCCAGTCTCTGTTCTCTGACATTTCCAGAATAAAGTTGTAATATTTGGAGAAAAAACAAAAGTTAAAAGAATAAAGTTGCAATTTAATGAGAATAAAGTCATAAGGAGGACAAGGAGGTGGAAAACTAAAAGTAACAGAAAACCCTTCGGATCACAGCCGCTTCAGTGGGAAGCATCCTGGACCAGAGAAACGTTTCCAAACAGAACAAATGTGTCTCTAAGTGAGGGGGACGCAGAGACAGCAGAGACACAGAGCTACCGGTCAGAGGAACAACGCCACACTGCCACTGCAGTGGTTATATTTGACTTTTTGGATCAAAATTGCTAGCGACAATTTAGCAGTTGCTGGATATTGGCATGGAAATTTGCCATCCACACTCAGTGCACCCTTGGCTGAATTCACTATGAACCCCCAGGGGGGAGATTCAGCTGCAAATTCTCTGTAGGTGAATCACTACGAGAGACTCCTGTCACATTGTTTTCATAGTCTTGCCATACATTGTAAGTGTAAATTATCAGTTACAGTGGCTTAAAGTAAAGATGACAGTTTTAGGCCTATTCCATCACGTCACGAAGGAAACCATTTTGCAACCCCCCCGACTTGTCAGACACCTAACTAACAGTTAACCTGCTGTGGCTTTCTCCTGTAGCCTTCGCTGACTCTGCAGAACAACCTTCTGACTCGTTTCCCTGAGACGGGAGAAGTTTCAGTCACCGTCCAGGTTTCTAACGGACGATCCATGGTGCAGGATACCAGGATAGTCCGAGTCTACGGTAACGCACTAAAATTTGAAAGAACCTCGTAAACTACTTCAGCAGCAAATATCGACTGACTATGGGAATGAAACTACCATATGAACAGAATGCAGTAATATAGCTTTTTTTATGTTTTTGGTCAATCTTCTTAATCTCAGTAAATTTTGCCCTCTCTTCAGATAAGACGGTGAATTATACACTTATAAATCTAAAAAAATACGCTTCTCATCAAGGTTCAAGTTGTCCACTAGCCACACTGGTGCACTACATTTACAGTTAAAGTTACCACATTCTGTACACTAAAACTGTATCATAATGACCAATAGATAGACAACATATTTAATATGTAGCAATACATATCTATTCATGCATGCTACCATTAAACCAACTAAAAAGATCTAGTAAGCTTGAATTCATACTGGAAACAGGAGAGCTTTCAACTACATCTCACATCTTCCCTTCCCACAGTCAGCAGAGAGAGTTTTTTCACTTCAGTCCCTTTTTTTACCAAAGTCAGTTAAGACAGCAAAAGCCGAGCATACACAAAAGAGAGCTTTACCAGCTATGTTTGGTCCATGACTCATTCAGACACAACGGAGGCAAACCTGCTGCCTTCCCATATAATATGATCTCATCTGTTATTGTTGCTGAGTGTGTAACAGAAGGAATTATGCCAGATTTCTTTTCTTATCTTCTTGTTTTACTCATAAGCTGCAAGCTTTTGTTTCCTAAGAGAGTGATAGTGAAGTTAATGTTTGAAACATGGAAATGGAATGTTGAGGTCTGATTCATGACCGTGACCCAGTTCAGTTTAAGTAAGCTATTTTGATTGTTGGTGAAGAATCCTGTACACACTCCTCTTTATATGCTTCATGTCAGGACATGGGGAAGCTACTTCCATCTGCTAATGCTATTACTGCACATCTGCATGTTCAGATTAAATTTTCCATACACTGTAAGTTCTGTTCAAGTTGAAAGTACATATCTGTCTACATACAGTAGATGTGTTTCTACATCTCTACAGTAGCTTCTATTGTATTTGCTGCTCTATTTGTGGCTATGTTTCAGCTTGCGTTTTGGATCACTACTGTGATGATTGCTAATTACTTCCCTGTTCTGTCTGATCCCAGATAACTTCCAGGTCATCCCTCTGAGCTTCAGCCCACACCTGGACCGCTTCAACCCAAACATCCCGGAGTGGAGAGAGGACATTGGCCAGGTGGTCAACAAAATACTTGCTAAGGTAAGACCCAAAATCAAATGAGCACTAACACAATGGATCATTTTAACACAAACTTAACAGATTTCTGAAAATAAAGGACTTAGTAATCTTAGATCTAATTTGTGTCTACAATGGGCTTTACATGAAGACAAAAAAGACACAAAAAGAGGAATTAGAAAACTGTAAATTAAAAAGGAAATTAAAGTCAGAAGTATAGTCTAGCTATGCTAACGCCTTTCTGAGGCTGTATACTTAGCCAAATGCTAATGGTATCCTGCTAACATGCACACAATGACAGTTTAACATACTGCTTTTAGTATAATGTCTGCATTATGTGTTTACCAGCAGTGTCAGCAATCTATCATTAGCTAATATGTGCTAAACAAACAAAGGTTTATGGGAATGTCATTCATTTAGCAGGTATTTGGTCATAAACCAAGCATATTGGACAAATTTAATCATGACCTGGTAATTGAGGAAAAATGAAGGGATCACCAACATCATTACAATTCATCCTGAGGGGGACATAAAAATCTGTACCACATTTCATAGCAATCCAACCAATAGATGTTTCACTCTGGACCACAAATGTTAGCAGACCGACCGGCTTTGCCATCCCTAGAGCCATGCTGCTGGCAAGGCTAAAAATAGGTTGGACAAATAATTAACATACAGGTTAAAAAAATAAAATGTAGTTTAAATGTATACAAAATATGAAGTTATATTTTACTTTATTCAAATGTTAAATGTAAAAGTATTAGCAAAAAGTATAATATTCACTCTCGTTTTAGCTCTGTTTTGGTCTCCACAAACTCTAACTGTGTCTGCTGTCTGTCTGCTGAGCAGGGTAGAGAGCAGTTTAAGAGCCACAAAACTAAAAACTTATAGAGGCTAAAAAGCTGAACGGAGGAGTTGGGTGATTAGTCTCTGGGGGTTCATCACTGCTAGAGACCCCTGTCACATTACACATAGTCATTTGGTCCATTTTAAACATAAAAATATTGATTATTACAGTTTTAAGATTTAACGTGTTTAACCATGTGGCCTCAGATCACAGGTGTCCCTCAGGAGTCCCTGGTCACGGTGGTGAAGCCGGGCCTCCCGACCACTGCTGACCTGTACGTCCTCCCGCTCGACAGCCAACCTGCCAAGAGGAGCGTGTTTGTTGATAAGGTACATGCACGTGCATGGCAAACCACACCCAATTAAAAAAAAAGTTTTGCCCTACAAATGAAGGCTTTTGGGGACAGAATTACATTTTTCATTCATCAGATCACTATTTTATTGATTGGCCTCAAAATTTCCAAAACATTATTCAGGCCTGCACAGTCCCACTGTGTGAAAAAGGTGAGAATTCCGAGAACAGGGCTGAGCTTCAGTTTGTGACGCACCGTTTTAAGTTCAAGTAATAGGCTCCCTTTGGACAAGGTTATGCTACCGAAGCTCAGTTAAAGAGAAGTCAGTTTTATTCCAAACATGAAGTGAGATGTGTGTCTGCGCAGGCGGAGCTCAAAGTAAAAGAATCTTTTAATCTACACCAATCACCAGGACACCCTATTCCTCATTCAAAACAGTGCTGCTGCTATTTTTTCCTTAATTTAAAGTTTTGTTCTATCCTCAGCGTATTCCGGCCATCATGCAGGCCTTCAACGACAATAATGTCAGCTTCGTGGTGCGAGGAGGTCTACAAGTGCTGGTGATGCTGGCTGACCCTAACGCAGGTACTGTATATTTAAATGCTACTTGCGTTACGTCCCATATAGTCTGCTTTTTAAAACTACAATTAATGATGTTTTTTTTAATGAAAATTGCATGTTATTGATTTATTTCCAAGGTCAAGGTCTAATTTCTAACGACTCAACAGCTGCAGCAGCAGAGACTGGTGCGTTCATGAACCATTCACCTGCAGCTCTCTGCACTTAACCTCAGTACTCTTTGGTTTGTTTGCCTTTTCCTTTCCTGGTTTCCTAACAAATCCAAATCTTGTGCAGTCTAAATCTGGCTGTGCTGTGCTGGGTTTAAAATGGCCTTGTGTCTGTGGAGGGTGGCTTCTTCAAGAAAACCTTTGTTTCAGTGGATGTTCTGAACTTCTTTCTGTCCCTTTGCTCCTGCAGTTTTTGACTCAAGATCTTCTTTCTCGCTGTACTTTTTGAATTTCCCGATAGCAACATTGCTTGTATGGAAAGTCTTTTATCAACTTGTGTAAACACGATGCAATTTTGTGAATTGGGAATGTGTTTGTGTCATCACCCCAGGCTACCATGGAGCTGCTGGTGGTCCAGGTGTTTGGGCTCTAGCGGTCATTTTCCTAATCAGCATCATCGCCACTGGCTCCTTCATCCTCTACAAGTTCAAAAGGTGAGCCATGTCATATAAAAGAGCTGTGACGTGTCAGGCAGCGTAGACAGATAAGGCTGGGACCAAGCAGCACTTTGTCAGTTACTTTTACACCAGAGACAAAATACAGCTTGACTAACCAAAAATGGAAAGAGTAGCATGTTCTTTAGTGTTATACCGAAATGTTTTGCTGTCGCTGGTGTCCATCTCTGATAGGATGGTGGTCCTTCCTTGTTTTTTCTGGCCTACAACTACATTTTTAAGGGCCAAAATTGTAATGATCACAGCAATTAGACAGTTGCTATGCTGTCCTGTAAAACAGAGGATTTTGCATTCTATCAAGAGTGTGGAGATACTGTAGCTTCAAAGTGATTATGGAAAAACTACAATATTTCATACTTAATAACTCCATTTAAAAGTTGCGCTGCCTGAGTGTGTCACAGCACCCCCTGAAGTCACAAAATGTTTTGAAAATCAGCAAAGTTCACAGCATCATCAGTGAGCTGGGAGGAAACTACACCTTACCTATCCAGTGCATGAAGAAGATAAATACATAGCTTGCAGGAGTGGGCCATATGGGAACCATTTTTATGGAACATGAAATGTTATATTGCAATATTTGTATATTAAGTGATATTAATGGGTTTTCTGGAAATTCAGTTGAGGAACTGTAATTTAGATCATACATATCTAAGGGCTGTTTTTTTAGTGGCATTGCAACGACCGACAGATGCAGCGCTCTGATGGTTTGCTATTTTGGTGCTCATTCCGGGGCGCAGAGTGCACAGGTGGGAGGAGAGGTGCAAACAGGTGGGAGGTTCATCCAAATGAGGCGGCGCAAAGAGAGTTGTTGGTATTTTGGTGGAAACTGGGTCTTAGAGTTTGAGCTGAGAACAGATGTCTCAGGACCACATCTGTTTCCGAAACAGAACTCAAACAAAGAGCAAACTTAATACAAATGTGTAGCAGTAATAGAATAACAATGTTAATAAACCATTTTAATTAAACACACTCATTAAGCACACAGTAGATGGGTTTAAATCAGCATCAAACATTTATGTTTAATTTAAAAGCTCTGATGGTTAACAATTTTCTGTGGTCTTACACCAACAGCGTCATATCGCCCAATCCTAATGCATGAAAATATACATACTCGATGTGGACCCTTGTGTAACTGCATGTTTTCATATCACACCAGCAGCACCTCCTCGCATCCCCAACACAAGCATCCACCGAAAAGTCACTTGAATTAAAACCGTGAAAAACTATGGCCCCATCTTACGAAAACAACGAATCCCACAGTCCTTGGCTTAGGACTGAGGATGCCTATCCCCCGCTGTTTTTCAGGAAGCTTCCGGGCAGTCGCAACGTCTACGCCCAGATGCACAACGAGAAGGAGCAGGAGATGACCAGCCCCGTCAACCACAGCGAGGACACCCAGCACATCATCCAGGGCGAGGAGTTCATTGACGACGACCTGGACTCGCAGACTCTAGGTAACGCAGGAGGTAGCCCCGCCTTCCGTTCCCTTATAAGGACTACCACTAACCACTGCTACTAAAACCCAAGCCACTAACACCAGCAGCTAACACACACCAAGGTACTGGAAGACTTCCCCATTTTCATCCTTATTACTGTATCACTAAAAGCCGTATCGCTTTGATATTAAAATTCAAATCTTAACTTTTGCTTGGTCATCACCTGCATTTGCATGAATCATATCTATATGCCATATTATGTTGTGCCATACTGCTGTGGTCTTAAAACAGGAAAATACATCATGGCACTTTATAGACTAAACTAAGTCATTATTTCCTTACATAAACCTTTATTGATTATTGATTTGTACTTAAAATATATGTCTTCATTCAGACAGCTGTTGCTCATAATTGTTGCCAAAGTAAAGGAATTGTAGTTAGTTAGTTAGTATATTTCAAGTGCAACAAGGCTATAAATGATATGATATAATTATGATGGCGATGAAAGGCCTTGTGATCGAGGTTGTAGTGGATGGTAAACAGAGGTGATATCAATAACCTTGAATAATAACATTGATTTTATCAATCCGTAGTATCCCCTAACGTGGTTGTAAGTACTGTCTCACTGGTGGGCTCATTTAGAAAGTCAAAGGTTATGGGTGCATGCTTACCATTATGACAATAACTGAAAGTTAATCTTTTATCTGCCACTACATCGCTGAGCGTGACCAACATTTAAAGTGCTTGCATATGAGAACTGGTGTTAATTTTGTATTGATGTCATACTGATATAAACATCAATGGTACCCTGCGGAGTTTTTGACCACAAGTGGGGCTCTGAAGCAACGCTTGGATAAGCGGATCCCCGTTTTGATTTGACACGTCGTTAGACAGAAAAGCAGCAAAAAAGAAATTGCAAAAAAGAAAATCTAAACATTCGCTGGTTCCAGCTTCTCAAATGTGAGGACAGTCTGCTGTTTTATAGAATTGTAAAACTGAATATCTTTGAGTTTTGGACTGTTGGTTGGACAAAAAAAGACATTCGAAAACAAAAACTGGGAACCGGTGATGTGCTTGGATCACTATTTGCTGACTTCACGCTAAATTTAGTTCAGTTTTATTCATGTTGTGACAATTCATATAAAAAGTTATCTCATTGCACTTTTCATAGAGCAGAAACATGGATGTAAACCAGTGGAGAAATAAATATTCAGATAACTTTAAAATGATAATAATCATTACAAGTTAAAGTTCCCTTCATGAGTAAAATTTTATAAAATGATACAGTTTTGCAGAAACGTATAATTATAAAGTAGCATACAACAAAAATACTCAGTAAAGTACTTGAGTAAATGTGGTCGCATCAAGCCAGATGAGGAAGGAGATGTATATTTATGTAGCACACGCTGACTGCATCAGAAAAGTCCGCAGGGTACCTGTAACGCCAGCGAGCCAGACTGTTGAGCTCTTCTTCTTTTATTGTTTCTCAGTTGCTTACCCTGTTTTTATTTCCCTTTTGTTGCCAGGCAACCATTCAGGTGTGGTCCTGAGCATCAACTCCAGAGAACTACACAGTTACCTGACCAGCTGATGGCTGCCTTGGCAACGCTATCGAGCTAGTCTAGCCTAGCCTAGCCTAGCCGGCTAACGAGCACAGGGACTCCACTCTGCCTTCCTCCTTCTCCTTTTCCTTCTCCTCTTCCTCGAACACTTCACCTCCACTCCATGGCCTCCTCAACTCTTCAGCTCCAGCTCTGGTGTGGGATTTGTTATTGTTTTTTTGTTTTGTGGGTGGAGGGGATCTTTTCCTGCTAGGGGACGGGAGGCACTCTGCTTTACCTAATGTATTTGACATCGCTGCGAACCCCCATCCCCTCTTCACTTCGTCCACCGGCCCTGGAGACCTGCACTGACCCTCCCCCCACTCCCGGTGAGGATGGAGGACACTCACCCGTCTGTGTGTTGAAAACAAAATCTGTCTGTATGTTGTCTGTCACTTGTAGACGCTCACAATCAGCAAGCATGACTCAGTGCACTGGTCTCCAGTGACAGTCACGGTCAGAGAGGGTTGAACCATCCATGTATCCACTGAAGGTAGTTAGTGGCCAAAGACCGGTGTGCTGAGATGATTTCCAAGCACTAAGGGAAGTGTGCATTATGCTAGTGAAGTCCATTTAAAGACAAATATATTTTTACTCTTCCCCCCGCTTGTTTTATTCACTCTGTTTCCTACAATTACAAGACACTCTCTTCACAGGCAATAATATTATCTCAATGGAATGTAGGATATGATAAACCCTCGTGAATTTGCATATGACAAGTGTACGCATGCAACCACAAGAGGGCAGTGTTGCACTTTCTTAAATTCCCACTCACAGGTACTTGGGAGCTCAGATTCTTTGGAAAATACTGTATGTTCACACAGCATTGTTCATTTTATAAAAGCCCGCTCCATTCATATCCTTGTATTCTTGTTTATAACTCACACATTTACAGACGTTTGTCGAGTGGTGTTTAGAATCAGCACCACCTTTTGTAGGAGTTCATCGTCTGTCCCATGGTGCCTAAAACAGCAGATGTGAATCTGCTCAGTGACATTAACTGTCGTGGAGTTTATTTGTTTCTAATAACAGTACGCCCCTTCGTCCTCGTCCTCCTCCTCCTCACCCCCACTCTTTCTGGGTGAGGGGTCAAAGCGAACTCGTTCCCCATGGAGACAAAGCTCGGCGTCATGGTGGGAAGGTGTAGTTGATATGTTTTACTGTATCAGCCTATATTAGGCGTAGCCCGCGGTGGAATCATGTCTCCTTAAAGGTTTGGTTTGTTGTATGTAAATGTGTAAATATGAACAATCTCCACTTTGTACATATTCCCTTTGACATGTGTGTGTGTGTGTGTGTGTGTGAGTGTTTTACACTACTACCAAAATACACAGCAATTCTCTTTCCGGAGCGACCTTCACTGAGTTTCCTGAAAAATCTTTTTTCTAGTTTCTGCAACGACATTGCCTGCTTCACATGTATCCATCTTCAATACTCTCAGTGTAATCTCATTTTATGGCCTCCATTGTTAACTGGAAAGAATTTCATCGTCTTCTAAAGATACTCACAGCTACACAGTGATGACTATGTATGTGGATATTTTTGACACACTTTTCTCTCACTACGTGTGAACACTGGTTATTGTTTCGGTCGCCTCTTTGTTAGTTTGATTGCACTAATGATGTAAGCAGTGGGGACAAAACACACGGGACAGCAGCTGAACAAGTCTACAGACTGGATCAAATGGATGAAAGGCCTTTATTGACAACCAATGCTACCATTACACTTGGTTAGTCTTGTGTTTGATACCAACAGCAGACCATATTCATTCATTCTAATTTAGACCTTAATTCATCTTTTGTACATATTCTGCTCATGTTCAATTTGTTCTTAGTTTTTCTAGTGATGTGTCGTCATTGTATCACTCTCGCCTTTAACAAAGGGGGGAATTGTGATATTCCAATATAATAGTGAAGAAGTTTCACAGCTAATGGCACCGACCATGTAATTTTGAACACACTGTTTTTCTTTTATTCTTTTTCTCTTTCTGATGATTTGTTTGATCTATTGATTTTGCTATTAAAAAAAATTGTGTGTCCTCACCAGGAAGCGTAGTTCACTCAACCTGCATCCTGGAATAAACCACTCCCATAACTTGTATGTCTGTTTGTCTTCTGAGATTGGCGTACATACTGTCAACTTATATGAAGGACCAGCAGTCTCTTGCAGCACCTATACGTACGTTCTACCTGAAGTTAGGGTACAAAATCAACACTAAACCATACGGTGAAACTAGTTAGTTTCATACTACGCTCTGTCGATGTTTGGTTGCTCCACTGATCAAAATGATGTTTTCACTTCCCGTGGCCAATCCGTGAAAAGCACTTTTCTTAACGCAGTGTGTCTCTCGTCAGTTTGTCTCTCTTGCTTACCAAACAGCAACAAAAAGGTATGTAAACTAGGACAAAGCATTATGATCAGGCAATAACTAAAAACCTTAAACTACAGCTAGTCCAAAGTAACAACCATGACATTAAGTGGTAAAACCGTTAACTACAAGATAGGTGGAATGTAAACGGTGCACTCTCTGTCAAATAAAACACTGGCAAACTGTAAATCTTTAGTAGTTAATTAGAAAGTTATCTAACCCCAAACATTTGCTTGCCAACACTAGGTTATTAGTGTCTAATGGCAAGTTTAGTTGACAGACAAACAATAGTTTGTGTACTGTCTGATCGTAGACCAAGAAACAAAACCTGAAGAAATCAAGTCAAGATAAAGAAATCATCATCCTGCTCTCAAAATATAAAGAAATCAAAGAATCACTGGAATTGAAATTTAACAACTTTGTAATCATTTGGCAGAAACAAAAACAAAAAAGGACTTCACGGACACCATAAATGCAAAAGGAGTGGAGCACAGGGATGTTAACCACGTGAGGAAGAGGTGGAGCGACTTAAAAATGCAAACAGTTGAGGACTTTCCACCAAATGGAAATCCCTGTACATGAGTAAAAGTACAGATGCTCCTGCTACTAAAAGTAGAAGTCTTCAATTTAAATTTACACTTGAGTTCAAAGTACAGTGGAAGTTTCATAGCATGTTCTTGTTGTTGCTGCGTTTAGCTATGAAATGAAAAACAAGTTATATTTCATTTATTAAAATATATATTTTACAGTTTGATTTAACTAAAACACTAACTTTATAAAAAGAAATCCACATCTTTCTTTTAGTATTCTTATAAACATTTGCTCATCTTAATATGACCCTGTTCCCACTATAGTTCCAGTAGCTGCAAAGGAGCATTGTTGATGGTTAATAAGTGCATAATAAAGGGTTTATTAATTCAAATAAGACACTGTTCAGTAAGTGCAAATGAGCATTGGTTTTTCTTCATAAATGTACCACTTTAATCTTATCTGTGAAGCTAACCTGCTGACATTTCCTCATTCAGTCGGCATCACAGCACATCTGATACACATTTGGATTTCCTCATTCACATTCATTTTCACACAGTGAATATAAAATCACATACACAAATATATGTATATGTTTTTGGAGACATTGAAATCTCACTTTCATTATCAATCTGCCATCGATGCAAGGACGGAGTCAGTGATCTCCAGCCATCACGGATTCATCCTGAGCTCAGAATAAAATGGGTGGCAACAGCTGCATTGAAACATTTAGCATGGGCTACATTACTGCAGTAATCACAAATGGCAAAAACAACAGTTTAAGAGGGATGGGAGGTTCTTAGCATAATTGTAAATATTACAATATATTTCCCACACTGTAGTAGTTAGCTCTCTAGCTACCTACATTCAGCATTTTGTAATTAGCATATCTTTAACTTAAAATGAGCTATGTGATGATAGCTAGTCCTCCCTGTTATTTCATTACCATTATAAAATGTCATATTTTATCTTTATTTAATTGTTTGCTAACACCGGTGCTTAGGCATGAGCAGTGAAATGGAGGATTAGTTATTGTAGAGATACATTTTGACATCAATAGAGAGTTTGTTATTTCATTGGAAGTCTTTTGTGAGTCTTTTTACAATAAGCAGTCATTTCTTTTCACTGCTTTTACCTGCCAGGTCAATGTTAAAATCCAGGTTTGTTATTTCAAATGTATTCAGTTTTGCTTTTATTTACACAGAGCCAATTCATAACAAAAGTCATCTCATTGCACTTTTCATACAGAACAGGTCCAGACTGTCCTCTGTATAATATTATTTACAGAGACCAACAATTCCCAACAGTGTATAGTGCTTTATTGAATGCAGATTACATTTCATTCACAGTCAACATGAGCAAGAGGAAAGGAGATATAAAAAAAAAGAGTAAGTAAGAGTAAGTAAGTTGAAACAATACATTTATTCATTTTGCTGACAAAATAATAATATAATAATAATAATAATAATAATAATCATTAATTATAAATTACTTTTCAAAAACATGTTACAAAGTGCTTTCACAAGAGCAAAGATAACAAAATATTTAAAACAGATTATAAGATACACGGTAAAACCAGGAAGAAACATAATAAATTAAATATAGTTAAAGGTCCAGTGCGTAATATTTAGGAGGAGGATCTACTGACAGAAATGCAAAATAATATCCATAACTATGTTTTCAGTGGTGTATAAAGACCTTACATAATGAACTGTTATGTTTTTATTACCTTAGAATGAGACATTTCTATCTACTTACATGGACGTCGCCGTGATGAGCCGCCATGTTTCTACAGTAGCCCAAACGGACAAACTTCTCCACAGAGCGCACTTTGTATGAATCGCACAAAAAAGGAAGAAGAAGTAGCAGTAGTAGTAGTAATTGACTGGTTTATTAGAAGTAATAAGAGATGTGAAATTTGAACACATAGAAGACCACACGTATTATTTAGCACAAGAGCAAGTGAGTGACTCCTTAAATCTTTAGTGCAAAAAGATAAAAAAAAAAGTGTACATGGGACATAAAGAAATATACAGAACAGTGTACAAATGTGTAAGAAGACATAAATAATAGAAACTCTGCCAGGGCTAGTCTATATTTTATAAAGATATTAAAAGATATGTTGTTTGCAGCCTTTTTGTTGTTGCATTAAGAAATTAAATTGATATAATATACAACCTCATGAAAAATGAAAAATGAAAGTTTTTTTACTGCTCAATTTCCATTGATGGATGTGGAATTTTGGTCAAGCAAGTAAAAAGGCTGTTGCAATAATCCAGGCGTGATAATAAAGGAATATATAAAATGGTCTCAGTGTCCTTACAAGTTAACAGTGATCATATTTTGGATATATTTCTAAGATAGTAAAAACATGATTGCACAAGTTTTGTGGTGCGCTGCTCGACACACAAATTACTGTCCAGACGCCAAGATTCTTTGCAACAGGCCTGATTCACCAGTGGACCAGTTGGGTCCCAGCATATGGCAAAGCCAATACTGCCATCTGCTGGGACCCAATGACCAGGATCTGTGTTTTGTCTGAGTTCAGCTGGAGGAAATTATTTGACATCCAATTTTTGACATCACAGAGGCAATCGGTAAGTGAACTCAGCATTCCAGGGTCTGTGGATCTGACGGGTGGTTACATCTGTGTGTCATCAGGTTAAACGAGAAAAGAGAGACCATAAAAAAGTACCTGCTTTTAAAAATACTCAAGTATCAAAAGCAAAAAGTAGGGGGTACCATTTTTCTGAAAAACCCGTCAGTTGGGTCGAAAGTAACACACAGGAGCGTCCAAAGTAAGGAGGGTTAGGGAAGTAAGTTGAAACAATAAATTTATTCATTTAGCTGACGCTTTTATCCAAAGCGACTTACAATTGCTATTTATGTCAGAGGTCACACACCTCTGGAGCAACTAGGGGTTAAGTGTCTTGCTCAGGGACACAATGGTGGATGGGTCACAGTGCTCTAGAATACTTGGTGACCTCTGACCACAAAATTTGTTGTGTGATATGGTGCACCTATGAACTGGTGTAATAAATTTGAATTAATCATCACCTACAGACTGCACACATTAGTTACATAAGCAGGGATATTGTTGGCATTCTAAGATTTTAGTTCACTGAAGTACACACCTGTGCTGTACTGTTTCCTTGTGACTTATAATTCACACCCTGGTTGCGATTAGATGGAACATTCCTATCATAGTTATCATGTTGGAGTTGACATGAATATATCTAAGTGAGTTTTTGAATATTAGCTGTGGAGATTTTAAATGTGTTTTAACATCATTTCATTAACTGCAAAATGAGCACATTTTTTAAATGTAAAATAGACGTCTTTACTTTACAGTCAGTTTGAACCTAGACACATTTTCCACTGCAAAATCCAAAGTAATTTTTATTGGGTGGGCCTGAAGGATTTTAAATTTTATTCTGGATTTTATAGGGAGCAAGTGCAGAGAAGCTAAGACAGGAGAAAGATGATCTCTTGCAGTTATCCAGCCTAGAAGTAACAAATGGATGGACTAGTTTTTCTGCATAATTTTTAGACAGGATGTTCTGGATTTTTGCAATATTACGTAGGTGAAAAAAGGCGGTCCTTGAAATTTGCCTAATGTGAGAATTAAAGGGCATGTCCTGATCAAAGATAATTCTGAGGTTCCTCACAGTGGTGCTGGAGGCCAGGGCGATGTCATCCAGAGTAACTATATCTTCATGAGTCACGGAGGAGCTTGGGCCCCAGAACAATTGCTTCATATATTTATGCAATGCAATGTAAATGTATGGAACAGATATATGATGTGTGTGATTGTGAGTTTCATATGTAGTTATTGTGTTACTGCAGCACTGTGCGGCACTGATGCCCAAGACAAATTTCCCTCAGAGGATAATAAGGTTTATCTGCCAAGCTGTCCTGGTGCCTTATATGTTCAGTCAGCAGTCACTCTGATCAGAAACCAATGTGTTTTTCAGTTATTCCCTGTTCTTATGTATGTGTTTGGCATAATTTTTATTAGCGTGCAGTAAAACACCTCAGGTAATTTACTAGGGTGTATTCCCTTTTGTTGTCCCGTGAAGGAAGTTGGTTTATGGGGTGGTGATGGCCCAGTGGCTAAGACATGTGCTTTGGGTGTGGGAGACCTGGGAGCGATTTTCCCTTTGACCCATCCACCATTGTGTCTCTGAGCAAGATACTTAACCCT